AAGAAGAAGAAGAAGAAGAAGAAGAAGAAGAACAACAACAACAACAACAACAACAACAACAACAACAACAACAACAAACAAAGTGTGTGAGCATACCTTTGTATTGATCCCTTGACCCATGTCCACCCCGCCATGAGTGACCACCACACTACCGTCGCCGTGACAGATGGACACTGTCGTGTTGAGACACAGCATCTCGCAGCACACCATGGAGTACATGCTGGGCATCAGGTGAAGGCCACGCTTCTTCCACCGGTGTCTCTGTGTACAGTGAGCATTTATTTGGTCGCTTTTTTAAGGACAAGCGGGCTAACCCAGTTTCGGGGGTTTCTAGAATCTTGACCTACACCAAGAGTGGGCATTGCCCTACTTATAGGAGAAGTTTGGTTTCTTTAGTGTGTATATTTGTTTGGTTATAGAGAAAACTCTCCTCGTCCTTTAAAAAGACTGAATATGGATTCAAAAACTTAAACTTCGATTTTCTAAAAACAGCATTTATCGGGATAACCCCCTTGTGCTTAAAAGCAACCATTTATTTGTTTGTTTGTTCTTTTGTTTAGTTAAGTTTTAGTAAAAGTTTTACGGCATTTGTAACACAATAAGGTCACGTAAGTGCCAAAGATTAGAGGTGCTGCAAGAGAGTAACAAACACAAAAAAGGAGGAGGGGAGATAAAGATGATAGATGTTTTAAAGGAAAGAAGAAGCAAACCACACCAGAGCACCCACCAACTACCCACTTGTTATTTTGTTTGTTTGTTTGTTTGTTTTGTCTGAGTACTACCAAGAAACATCACTTTTCATCCACCTGCACAGTGAGGCTCAAAATGTGTTAGAAAGAAAGGGGAAAGCTAAATACATGTAGCCCTCAGTTGACTAGATTCTACTGAGGAGAGAACAAAGCCACCATTGCGAAAGAGTCACCATTGAAAAGAGCTACCAATAAAAGTAAAGCAAAGCCCCCCCCCCCCCTCCTCAGTTCAAACTTCAAACTTCTTCACCTTGCAAACAATATCCAGGGTTACAGTCAGGTTGCAATCATATCTTACTAGAACAGGAAATGATAGGCAATCATTGTCAGGATGAGCAAAGACATTGTGGGGGGGGGGTGGAGGCTATACTTTACTTTTACTCCTCTGCTCTGGACAAACTGAGCTAAATTTCTGCTCTGATTGAGGTGCATATCATGTGAATAAATTTCTTCACAAACTGTATTCAATTTCTGCACAAACCTGACAAACCCTGTCAAATTCCAGCACAAACCATATCAAATTCCAACACAAACCATATTAAATTCTACAACAGACCATATCAAATTCCAGCTCAAACCATTCCTGCACTTTGACAAACCATGTTAAGTTTCGGCACTGACCGCATTAAATTCCTGCACCGCCCGTTGCCTCTCAGCATAAGCCATCTCTTCCTCCATCTGGGATACAACATCACGGATGAGACAGCTCTCCAGTACAACTCCCTTCATAGTTTTCTGAAACATTAAAATGATGATGATGATGATGATGATGATGATGATGATGATGATGATGATGATGAT